TGAGCATGGTAAGGGAATCACAATGGTTGAACTATTCCTAGTTTCATAGTGCATTGGCATGCTAATCAAAATATTGATTCTTGAGAATGTCAATAAATGAGGTATTGTTTATTAAATTCTTTTTTTTTAAGTTGCATAATACAGTGATATACCCTTCAAAAATATTACAAATGAAGCAGGAAGCCAGATAAGGATGGGTACCATTCACTCTCCAAGATAAATAAGAAAGTTTACACTGATGAGACCATGTGAAAATATTGAAAGCAAAATGAAGCTGCACAAACTTCTGAATTCCCCTGCACTCCTGTTAATCAATCTACTCTAGAAAAGAAAAATTGAATCTGACATCATTTATGATCAATTTGAAGCAAATGAAAAAGTGTCAGTGACACTTTAGGATCAGTAATTAAATAGGCATTTAAGAGTGGTATTCTTAAACATGCCAAGGGAATAACATTGACAGATCTTGTAGAATTGATCAGCTCAGAAATCAAGCATGCAACAAATAAGTTTGACTTCATAGTAGTTGAATAATTTGGATACATATTCTAAGAAGAAAAGCTTGCTCAAGCAATACCACAGGTTTCACAACTTCATAGCTTCACATTGCACAAACATAACCTGATCAGTAAAATATGGACATGCACTGTGTAACAGGTCTGTGAGAACTGTTAGAAGGATGTACCATTGATCATAGCAAGATGATGTAAGATTTCTGTTGAAGAAGCTGCAGAATTTTATGATGAGAATGATGAAGAACAAACAAACCAAAGCAATAATGACATGGATGAAAGTGAAGACGAGGAAGGAGATGAATTTCAATCAAGAAATATTGTCTGGGAAATGCTTGGATAAATTTAGTATCCTTGATAATTATGTTGAGCAAACGAGCTGCCAGAATATATAAAATTAAACTTTAAAAATACTTTTAACAAATTCATAGTACAATGGTACAGAAATGGGATGTATACTCTTGTTGGATGTGAGAGTGAGTGGAGTTATTCCCCATTATGTGAAGATGCTATAAATGAGATTAACATGAAACAACAAGAGAAAACATTACTAAGTTGGAACATAGATGGCAAGAGAAAAGTCTTGCATGATTAATTAACAATTAGTAACAGAGTATAGTTCCTCTAAACCAATTAAGTAAAAAAAAAAAAAACAGTGGATTTGGAGGATATTCAATGCAATTTTTTGCAGTCACAAGCTCTGAAATGAGTGTTTTTGTTTCTCTAACAAATCAAACAGGTTACTTAGTGTTTTTGTCTTGGTTCTTTTGAATGAAATGTATTACTATTTCTGTGTTTAACCAAGTTAACCTTCACTAATCTGCGATACCTAAGGTTTAACCTACAGCACTCTGCATAATTAATATTACTTCCCTTTCTACTGCATTCTTTTTCAAGGCTTCTCAGTTGCAGTAAGCTTATTGATAATTTCACACAAAATCGCTTTCTGTTGCCATATCAGGATATGACAACACAACTATAGAATTCAAACATACTATTGTTTGGGGATCAGAGCCATTTTCAGTGACCGGACAGACGTTTTGTACAGCAAATGAAGTAGCATAAAGAGTGATAAAGGTTAAAATGAATTTTTAAAAATGAAGCTTTCATTGAAAGCTAAAGGATTAAATTTACTATTTCCAGTAAGTAAAAATACTCTGGTGTTTTATACTGATTGGAATTAATTTTTTTTTTCTAAAATAGCTGATTAGAACCCTTTTTAGTCATCTTTCATCACATTGTAATTCACTTTATTAAAAAATCTTCAAAAAATAAAATATACTTTTCTGAAACTTTATTTCAGGAATATTAGCTGATTTAAAGTATAATTAATCTGATTTGAAACAAATATTATTTACTTTAAGTTTGGGAAAACATGACAAAGTGGAATAAGTTTACATGTGATGCATTTCATTCCTCAGGATTTCATCAGACTAAATTTGTTGTTGGTAGGACTACACAAGTGCACAACAGACATAGGAATTTTATAATCTTTTTTTTCAGCCAAATTCATTGTTGCTCTATGGAGATATTACAGATATGTAAAACATAATTTAAGAAAATGGCAGGTGAGCACCTTTTTTTTATATAATTTTTAAGTACTCAGTAATCTAATTTTAGGAATGTTGACTTTAAATTTACTATGATAATGTCATGTATGGTCTCTCCTACTTTAAAAAATGGACACATTTATATAGATAAAAAAAAATCAAAATTCTTGTAAAAAATCTTAGTGTTCGATGACTGGTATTAACATTTATCATTTATGATTAATAAAAATAGTTTCCACTTAATAATCATATAATCTAAATGGTTGAAATTAATACAGAATTTTAAAAGATTTCATAAATTTTTCTAATTAAAATTTGAAAAAAATGAAAACAATTCTTATTCATTATTCCTTGCAAAAAATTTTTTTCTTAAGACAATAGTTTCCTTAATGTATCTTATTTCTAAAAGCAATTAAAAACTTTCTGATTAAATAATGTCATAGTTTTCCTGAATTTTTATTTTACAATTCAGAGCAGATTTTCAGTAAATGTTGTTCCTGCTCAACAAAAACAAGATGATTACTAAAATTCTCCAAGGAATTCTGCTTTTAACTTACATAAATACAAAGAGGCTGAAATTTTAATTTCTCGAAATTTCAGAAAATTAAGTAGGTGTAACTTAAAAAAAATATATTTTTAACAAGATTTTGTAAAAAGAAATTTTTTAATAATTTCATTCATTTGTGAATTATTAAAATCTGACAATTATTTGATTTCTGCAAGAATTTCCAAATCAATGTGTTTTTTACCACAAAAAAAGATGCTAAAATTCCCACAAAAAAGATTTTTAACCAAAATTTCGAACTTGCTAGAAAGGATTAAAAAATTTAGTAAAATTTGGTCTTTCCTCTTAATAACATAAACATTTTAACAATAACACTTTGTTCGGGGCCTTTTTACATCATGCTATTTTTTTTTTGAGTGTATTAATGGAGGTACCCTTTCTACACCACTTTTGCACTAATAAGAAATTTGACTTACATGTATCAGTTGTGTCACTTTCATTGTATTTAACTGTACTATTTAAAAAGAAAAAAACATTTTTCTATCATAGCTTCAGAGACCTGAATAAGTCCCCAACAATTTTCAAGAAAAGAGATAATTATGAAAAATGGAGGAACAAATTAGAAGTCTGGTGAATTTTCACTAATTTAGAGAAAACAAAAGAGTACAGTGTGTGGTTTAAGTGTTACTATTATTTAGACCAAATTTTTCAAAAAACATGGGGAAGTGTTTTATTCCACTCATTTGTGTCCAAATAGAAGGAAATGGGCCAACATTTTGGAAATTTTTGAAAATTGGGATGGAGCCGGACCGAAACGTGCCCAGACCTGCCCAAGGCCCAAAAAATCACTAAAATGACAACATATTGTTCACAAACAAATCTTCACCAAAATGATTCAAATGATGAAATTCAATATGTGCACAACATTGAGTATACACATGAAAAAATAGAAAGAATTAGTATCACAAATAAAGCAGACATGAAAAGATAAGAGAACTAACAGGACAAAAGACATGTTCATCAACAGGCTGCATAAAGTCCACGGTCAGAACACTGATATTATTATGTACATGGTTATGTTTTTCAAAGAAATATTGTTTAATAGAACTAGGTGAGAAAGGTGACAGGTAAGTCTATGGGAAAGTGCGGTTGTAGTAAAACCAATATATGTAGCAGGTTTATTATTAGCATCAGAGATACAACGTCTAAATAGGCATGTAAATTGATACACTACATTGTTTTTTTCGTAGAGGATTTATTTGTGTAGTTGTAGAGACTATGAGGTCAACTGTTTTAAATTTTTATTATATATGATGAACTTAACTTGCTTATTATTATTAACATTTCTACCTATTATGTTTTTGAGTGTTGTTTCATCATGTTTGTAATTATTATGCATTCGGTTACAATAGTATAAGTCAATAGTATTATGTTTATTTTGACATTCACTATTTAATATTATCAATTTTGTTAGAGCTATTATTAAGTTTATTAAGATACATTTTAATTTGTTGATCCATGATGGAATTAGGAAATCCATTATTAACAAGTGTTTGATCAATGTTATGTAATTCTTTATAGAATATGATTTTGGAAGAAGATATTTGTGTGTGTTAGATTAAATTTTTTTAATGGCTAACTTTGGGGGCATTCACTATTATAATTAACAAGACATGAGTTAATGCTTGTGGGTTTCCTATATAGAGAAGTAGTAAAATTATATGTGCTGGAATCAATAAATACATCAAGGAATGGAATTTTATTATTAACTAGCAGTAAAGCCCGGCATTGCTCGGGGTTTTATGTAATTAAATTGCTTTGGGGTTTGAATTATTGAACTTACACATATATCCACAGTTGTTGAGGTCACTGATAGGCCGGGAATCTCACTGGTAGCAAAATCAATGAGATCAAGGGGAACCGGTTGCAATAGGTGGCTGCTGTGTTGTGGTTCTGTGCTCACCCGAAGACTGCCACTCGTTCATAATCGGTCAAGATTTTTAATTGTGGCATAGTGGTTGCGTTTTCACTGTAGGATTCACCCCTTCACTATTAAGTCCATAAGTTTTCCCAGTTTTAAGCAGAATACACAGGTGGTAATGTTATATCTGTGAGTGTAATCCTGTCCAGGTAGGAGTTCACACATTATCTCAACCCATATAAGTCTGGCCGCCCATATGGCCTAACGTATGTCATAGCGTGCATTCCCCCCGTGTAGGTAGGGGGCAGAATGCACAGCTTCCCTAGGTCGCGAGGATTGACTTCATTTCAAAGGCTGTCGCATAAGTGTATGTAGGAGTCTGAGTGCAACTGTTTCTGATGATTCCGTATAAAACAAAGCCTCTCCGATTTCATCTTAGCTGCCATGTCAACCGCAAACTGGTGGAAAAGCTCCCTGCATCTATGAAGCAGGTTGAAGTTTCCATCCCTAACCATGAGTAGAAGGCCTTGCACAATAAGGCTTTGGAGGATGTTGTAAGTTGGCCACCCGGAGTATGAAGGGGAATGCCGAAGTGGTAGCGATCGTCACCATAAGGGAAAAGTAAAGGGTACTGCAATGCATCATATGATTGATGGATTGATTTGAGGACAATATCGCTAGTGCGGTCTTGCTCCCCATGTATAATATCAGCCACTTTGTTGCCCGCAGGGGAATTGTAGCGCTGTTCGTGCTCATCATGAGGCCATTTGTCAGCATAAATTACAATGCTGAAGGAAGGAAAGGGAGCATTTTACAAAGCATATTTGAAACCGCAAATGTAGCTGTTAACCTCGTGAAGTATGGCCTGAAGTAGTAGTATGACATCCCTGCGAGGAACTCTTCCCGATGGCGGCAAAATACCAATCCGGGTTTTGGCCTGTATGTTATAGTCTGCAATAAAGTACAGTTGAAGGAATTTAAGCGTAGAGGTCTCCTCAGGCAGCAGAGACCCAATGCGGTGGTATACCTGCCCTTGTACTTTGAAAGTGGGCATCTAACCCTCTTCTCGAACCACCTGAGCTCCAAATGAGGTCATTTGATAGGAGTTGTTGTATTGCCTAATTGTTTTAAGGAAGTGGTTGGAGTTGGCATGAGAGCTGGCTATTAGTCTCCTCAGCGGGGTAGGTGGTTCATGCAGAGTTGGCAGTCGAACTTTGCCGGAGGAGTAGCACAGACTGGCAGGATCCCTGGCCCATTTGCAGACATTGCAGAATTGGCAAACACAGATTATGGACCCTACAATGAGGTTGTCATGCATAGTTAAGTAAATTCCAGGGTTGTAATTGAAAGCTAAGAAAGACCAAAAAGAGCTACTGAGACAGGTAATATCATGTGCGGCCGCAAGGCTCTGAATGTCGCCGTTAAGGCGTATGCGGCAAGCTTGGGGAGTTTGAGATAAGCACACAGCGGCCATGTTTGTAGCAGCCCTTGAAGGTCTGTTTGCCCTTGTCTGTGGGTCTTAGGAGTTTCTGGCAGCAGAAGTTGCTGCAGCGTTGCAGGCATTGTGGGTTGCCCGCTGCAGCTCTGTCTCGGACTCCCTTGACCTAGTTGTTGCAGCAGCATCCCTGGATTGATGGGCATGTCTGCGGTCAAATGTTTCAGCTGCCTTCAACCTGGCAGTCGTGGCAGCATTCCTAGCATTTCGAATAGACCTACGTAGCGGTGTCTCAGCAGGCGTATCAACTTCCCTCAGGTATTAGTTAGTCACAAAGGAGCTCACAGGGCAAAAGTTTTTAATTGTCTTGACTAAAGCCGATAAAGTTAATCAAAATCCCAAGCAAGTTGCGAAAACCATCACCAAATTCAGGTAAACTCGATTTGAATGGGAAGTCAAAAGGGGTATGATTTCATCAGTTTTTATTCGATAATTGAAACCGATATTGAAAAGAAAAGTCAGCACCTCAATACTGTTGGTAAATACTATGCTCAATGGGAATTTTGCTGAAAATTCTTTGAAAAAACTTTGCGAAAAATATAGCCAAAGCTAGACTGGACTTGAATCGGATGTCCCAAAGTGATCGATTGTATTGATTTTTTTCCAGTAATTGATATCAATATTGAAAATGAATGTCAGCATGACATAACTATTGACAAAAACAATGCTCAATGTAATTTTGGTGGAAATTCTTCGCTATTTGCTAAACATATAGCCAAAAATCAGCTTGAGTGGATTTGAATTGGAAGTCAAAAGTAGCATGATGTTATCGATTTTTTCCGATAATTGATACTGATATTGAACCCCATCTCCATAGTCTATTTGATGTATGCACAGGCAGACCCTTCTTAGAACCTAAAATAGTAAGTAATGGTTTATGGTCTGTCTGCAATGTAAAGTGTCTATCATCAATGTAGAGGTGAAAAAATACTGCAAAAATAATCCTCAATGGCTCCTTCTCAATTTAGGAGTAGTTCTTCTCTGCAGGATGAAGTGTTCTCGACACATGAGCAACTGATTTGCGAGATCCATCTGGCATCTTGTGCAGAATACATGTTCCAATATCATATGAGCTGGTATTGCTGGCAACTATAATGTCCAGGTCTGGGTTATAGTGAGTGAGAAACAAGTCCGACATCAAGACTTCTTTTATTTTGACAAATGTTTCCTGGCATTCAGGTGTCAACTCTAAGTCGTTGTCTTTTTTCAGCAGTTCATTTAGAGGAGCATGTAAGTTGTGTATATTAGTTATAAACACTTGGTAGTAGATTGCCAATCCTAAAAAACTTTGTAATGAAGAGACGTTTTCGGGAGCTGGCATGTCCTCAATTGCAGTAGTTCATTCTGGGTCTGGTCTTCTGCCATCTTTATTGATAATGTGCCCCAAGTATTTAATCTTCTCCATAAAGAAGTCACATTTTGATTCTTTCAATTTGAACTCGTACTCCTGAATTCTTGAGAAGACTTTATGAACATGTTCCTTGTGTTGTTCTACATTTTGGCTGTTTACTAATATGTTGTACAAATATGCAACTGTGAAGTCAAGACCACTCAGCATAGTGTTCATTACTTGTTGGAAAATTGCTGGCATGACCTTGATCCCAAAAGGTAGACATTGGAACTTGTACAAACCACGATGGGTATTGATAAATTAAAACATTCTTCCTCTACTGGAATTTGAAGATATGCGTCACGGAGGTTGATTTTTGAAAAAGATTTTCCCTCATTTAGTTTCACTAAAATTTCTTCCAGGCTTGGTAAAGGATAGTGATAGTTTTTGAGTACAGAATTAAGCCCCATCAAGAAATCCGCGCAAACCCGGATCTCCTTTGACTTCTTTTTCACATAGATGGCCAGTGAAGCCCATTGACTGTACTCAATTTTTGACAAGACCCCAGTTCTTTCTAGTCTGTCGAGTTCTTCATTTATTTGTGGTTAACAGGCGAAAGGTAGATTTCTTTTTTTCTTAAATACTGGTTGGATGTTATCTTTTAACTCAAATTTTGCTGTCATCTTATTACACCAACCAAGGCCCCCAGAAAAAAACTTCCGAAAAAGTTTCTTTTAAATCTTTTATTAAATTTTTTGCCTCAGTGGTCAGGTTTTCGAGTTTTTGGCAAAATGAATTAATTGGCATGTCCCACAACTTAAATTTCTCCATCTAGTCAGTGTCAAATAAATTTTCTGTATTATTTAATATTAGTTTTAACGTCCTTCCATGAAAAGTTACATTTGTAATAAATTCTCCCTCTAACTTGATTTTCTGACCCAGAATCCAACTGTAATTTGATATTTTTATTTAGGATTTGTACTTGCACAAATTTCATCTTGTTTTATGGGGTAAAATATAGTTCACAAATTTGATGTGCTTCATGGAGCCTAGTTTTTGAAGTAATAGGCAAAAGAGTCTGCTCAATTCGCACAATCTATCGCATATAAATCCTCATACCTTCTAAAATAGGAAGCAAAAGTTATATCCTCATCTGGAGAATATGCAAAATTGTCTATTGCACCCCAGATGGTGTTTTGTGAGAACGCATTTTCATTTTCACTAATTTGCCTCCATTTCTCAGTTCAAGCAAATTTCTTTGCTCTTAATGAGTTTGAAGTAGAATTTCTTCAAGTTTCTTGTTTTCTGATTTCTGTTTGTTTTTTTAATGCAAGACTTTCCTTCTTCAATTCGCTTTTGGAGTTCAAACGTTTCCCTTTCAGTTTGCTTTAGAATTTGAAGCTGTTCTTTTTGTATATCCAACTGCAGTTGTTCCATTCTTTTTTGCCGTTCCAATTGTTTTTCTTGCCATTTTAGTTCCCATTGAGTTTGTTGTTCATATTGGAACTTAAGAAAATCGAGCATGGCAGATTTGAAGTCATCCATGTTTGACTGTATTTTTTTTAGGTTTAAACTGAAATAGAATTTAATGAAAGAGAGAAAAAAAAACAAATAACTTTAATTTTTTAATCACTCAGAAAATCATGAGTGCTTTTTTTTTCTCAGAAAGTTCAGTGTAAATTAGTTACACTTTTTTTTTCTGTTTGGTTTCCTTTTCTGGATTGCCAAGTACTGTTGAATAAAACCAATATTGACAATTTCCTTTTGAGGTCCTTAAGGGTCCTCATTGCCAAGTTGTTGTGGCCTTGTTGGGAGCCAGAAATAAAGACACAAAAGAGAGGAATTGAGTTAACAAATATATTAACCAAAAACAGTAATACATATACAAATGAGCAAGAATGTTCGGTCCGACTGTGAGAGCTGACTGCTGGAAACTACACTCTCTAAAAAGCAGTACCTGCTCTTATTTGTAACTGGGAGAGTCCATGCGTGCATGGGTAAATTACCAAAACATACTTAAATATTTGTATCTACAAAAATAATGTATAAATAGAAAATATATTAAAATAATTGTCGGACTTTTCATAATATATGATGTCATTTGTTTATGTTAAGATATGTTTCAAGCAGAAACATGGGAAATTTGTAGTTTAAAAACAGTAACTGACCTTGCTAACCAAACATTTCCATAAATATATTTAGATATATTTTATTATGTTAATAACTATGTGGTTTGTGTAAAAAAAATCTGGATAACACAATTTACAAATAAAAATATATTAAAACAAACAGATATTTGGGGAAAAAAATTGGAAAAAAAAAAGGACTAAAAACAGCCAAGTAAGCCAAAAAAAATCATCCAGTGTTATAATTTCTAGTCTAAAGAAAAAACCCCAACCAAGTAAATAAGAAAAAATGTAAAGAGCTCAATACACTAAGTACAGCAGAGTATAAAAAATGCTAATGAGCCAGGTACTACCTACCTAGGTTTCACCTAAATGGATCTTCAGGGTAAGCCAGCTTATATATATATATATATATATATATATATATACATATATATATATATAAAAGTGAACATAAAGTCAACACTTACAGGCAACAGTCTGTTTCATGCTATATGCAATCGTGGACGATTGCATATAGCATGAAGCAGACTGTCACCTGTAAGTGTTGACTTCTATGTTCACTTTTATATTTACACACGCTCTATCTCTTATATTGAGCACTTTATTCCATAAATATAGCACACCTTAAGACTATATATATATATATATATATATTATAATATTTTGCTCTACTTTATATTGAACACTTTTTTAAAAGTAAATACTACGAATTGTGGATTTTTACTTCATCTGTTCTTTGATTCATTTTGATATATCAGGTCATCCCATAAGTTCTGTCCAAATTTTGAATAAAGAAAACAAGTGACCACATGTTACATTTAATAACAGATTCAATCAACAATGTATTTTCCCTGATTATCGATGACTTCCTTCCATCTATTAACAAGCTTACTAATTCCATTACTGTAAACTTCTTTTGGCTTTGATTCGAAGAACTCACAAATGTCAGTTTTAACCTCTTCCGGTGTTACAAAAGCTGTTTCTTCCAAATGATTCTGTAAGCTACAAAACAAATGGTAGTCTGAAGGAGCAAGATTGGGAGAATAAGGTGGATGAGGAATTTTCTCCCAACCAAATTCTTCGATCTTTTGTGACGTGATTCTGCTGTGTGGGGTCGTGCATTGTTCTGATGAAACATCACCTCTTTTTGATTCACTAGAGCAGGTCTTTTTTTCCTCAAAGCTTGGTTCAAACGCTCTAATTGCTGACAGTATATTTGAGCATTAATTGTTGCATTAGGTGGTAAGAATTCAAAGTGGATTATTCCTTGGCAATCCCACCAGATTGAAAGAAGAACCTTTTGCCCATGAAGTTCCCTTCTCGGCTGTGGCTGGGGTCCTTCCCTTTACCAAGCCACTGTCTACGATGCTTAACATTTCGATAAAAGATCCATTTTTCGTCGCCAGTCACAAGTCTATCCAAAAAAGGTGAAACAAGTTGGCGAGAATGGAGAGAAGAGCAGATGTCAACTCAGGATTTGAGGTTGTTTTCAGACAATTCATGAGGCACCCATTTTCCAAGTTTAGGAACTTTTCCAAGTTGTTGAAGATGACGATGAACAGTTGTATGGTTTGAACTGAAAACCATTGCCAATTCCTCAACTGATAAAGCAGGATTTTCTTCAAGGGCTGCTTCAAGAAGCTTTTCATCAAACTCAACTGGACATCCGATTCGACCTTCATCTTCA